CACATACTCTGATATTATGGACGAATCCAAGTGCGGGTGATCAGTATATAGTACTTCAGTGACACAGTTCTCCCGGTGCGGGCCTTTGTACATGATTAAAGTAAATCCACGCGAGTGCTCACTTGATTTGGTACCCCGTAACATCCAACCACATTTCTTTTTGCACCGCAAATGAAGGACACTTTCATTCGATGTCACTGTGGTGTAGAATTGATTCCTTTGAATGGAATACATCTTCACCATTTCTTGAAGCATTTTCTTACTTTCAAAATACATCCCCTTCTCAAATTCTCCCCCGGGAACAAACGATGTATGGCTACCCGATTCGGCCCAATACTGATCAACTTCATAGTTATCGTTTACCTGACTGAACCAAGGTACAGGAGTTCTAACCAGGGGCTCGCCAACTTCCATGTGTGCAGGTTCAACATCCATGATCTCAAGTCCATCTTCCTCTCTCCGCTCTCGGCCTCATCATTTGTATACACATCATACACAGACAATTCGTTATTCACAATAGTTTCAAGATGATTTGGCACAAGTTGAGACGGCGATGCTTGAACATCATCTTGCATAGGTGAATAACTATGCAATTGCAGCGGTGAAGGTGTGATGGTGTTTGATGTCGAATGCCCACGTTTGCCGGTAATTGCCACATATGCCCCCCCATGTACAGGTGAAGCTATATGAGAACTAAACGGCATGTGAAATTGATCGTCGTGCAGCATTCGATTGAAAGATCCCGTCCCATATTCAGTTGATGGAATGTCGTGTGAGGGCACTTGGAAGGGCTCTGCGTTGTAACCGGAAATATATGTAGATTGTTGTTCTCGTCGAGTACTTTGTTGAGTACATATAGGCACCATTTCTGCATATATCTCAGTGGGAACACCCTTCATTGCAACAACGCTCCTCAAAGCTTTCAAATGTTTATTCGTAGAAACAGGTAACACTTGAACCCCATTGCCGGTCTCAAACCTCATTTTAATGTTTAGTTCAACATTCCTTGGGTTTGAACCAATACTACTATGAACCTCGTTCATCAAATCATTGAAAGTCATGTTCGGTTCAAGTGTAAGTGGTTCCATATTTCCTCCACTATACTCGACACGGGGTCCATCGAACAAAATTTCACCTCCCCATCGGCATAACAAAACTACATTTTGTGCAGCCATATTCTACACAACAACCAAAACACATTACACTTAAAGGCACTAAATCATCCCTAAATCGCCATAATTAAACAACAATATACATACTTTTCAAAATAACACGGCTTAGAAGCCCTAAATCAACATTAATAAACAACAATGTAGGTTATCACAATCACCCAAGAACCAACAATTATCAACATTATCAACAATTATCTACACTAACAATTCAACATTTCCAACAATTTTCTACACTAACAATTCAACAATACCAACAATTATGAACACTAACAATTCAACATAATCAACAATAACAATTCAACATTATCAACACTAACAATTCAACATTATCAACTCTAACAATTCAACATTATTAAGATTTTAACCACAATTCCAAAAGCAAAAAGACCATTAAAAAACCCTAGATTTTAAAAACCAAAGAAAGAGAGGGCAAGTACCAAAATCGGGGTGATGTGAGGCTACATGGGGCTGTCGGCGGCCGGTGGTTGGCAGGCGGTGGTCGGAGGGTGGCGGCGGTGGTTGGGGGGATTTGGGTTGCTTGTTCAATGAGAGAGAGAGAGATTTGGTTAGGGGATTGAAATGAGGGAATGTAAGGATGAACAGGGGAATGAGAGGAAGAAGACACTGCTTCTGTGCAGCGATAAAAACACTGCCTGAGGCAGCGTTTCATTAAGGTAAAACGCTGTCTCAGACAGCGTTTTACCTTATTTTAATTTATTTTTTTACACAATTCCAGCTTAACAAGTTACGTATTTTTAATAAAAAAAAAAAAGTCAAAAGGTAAAACACTGTCCCAGATAGCGTTTTACAAATTGAATTTTTTTTTTATAAAACACCAGGGCATAAAACGCTGTCCGGTTTACCCTGGAGACAGCGCTTTATCCTGAAATCTTAGTTTGGCAAAATAAATTTTGCCACACAACCAATTTGCAAAATTCTTTTAAAATTAGACTATTTTGGGGAAAAGTCCAGATAAATGGGCAAAGGACGTGGCATTAGAATATACCAAAAAAAAATCTTTCATTCAATGAATTTACACACGTTAAAGCCGTCAGAATTAGGGATTAACCTTGTTAAAGTGGGGTCCTCTAATCACCCTATAAATTGGCGTCTATTACTTAACGCCATCTGTATTTTGTCCGTAACAAATATTAAGACACTTGAAACTTTAAAGTCCACGTACTACACTATGAAAATTGACCCCTTTTATTTATATTTATTTTTTTAAACCAAGGACAACCAATAAACAAGATATGTGGATATTGAATTGATGAAGTAAGAAGAAATTGACCTCTCTTCTTTTGAATCTTCTTTAAATGCTTTTTCTTAGTTGTATAATACAAGTATACTACTACTTAAAATGAATGATTTCGAACAAAATGTATCAACTCAAATGCCATTTGAGTTGCTTTATTAGTGCTCTTTTTAGAGTTTCAATTTCAAAATATCTTTTTTATAAAGTTGAAACAACATTGGCTTTGTTGAAAGTGTGCAATTGCAAAGGGTTATAACAAAATTATGTGATAGATTTGCAAAGACTATAGTGATTTCGCAATAGTCAACATAATTGTTAAATATAATATATTTGGGTGTACCGACTATACTCAACAATATCTTTTAAAGTAATCTGTAGATTATAGTGTTTTAACTTAATTCAAACAATTTTATATTGTAAAACAGTGGTGATATACTCCGTGGCTTTAGGCTTTTAGCAATTAAAGTAATGTTACACAAAAGCTAATAAAATTAGGCAATTGGCTTTATTTAAGAGTAGCATTTCCCTTTATTCAAAAAAAAAAAAAAAAAAAAAAAGGTAGCATTTCTCATAAGGTACTAAATTTTTCCTTACCAAAGCAATGTTAATTTTTTAAATATCTTAGTAACTAATTCGTATCGAACCTGCCATTTATCAAGCAAATACTTTGACAACTACCTCTAATGATTACTAGTTTACAGCTAATATTTACTCTACAACATTTAACATTTTGTAAACACGTCCCACGAGTTATGTATTTTTTGGAAAAGTTTCACTTTATATGCTTGAGGTTGGGTATAATTTCATTTGGAGTACCTCATGTTTGATTATTCCAATGTATGTGCCCAAGCTCTACAAAATTATGTACATTACCCTAAAAAAAGTTTGGTGTTTTCCATCAAAATGCTTATGTGGAACAAACTAATTTTTTAATAATATCTTTTTTGGTTCCAACTTAATAATTGCATAAAATATCCAAAATATTTTCCAAAGAAAAAAAATTGAGATTATGAAAATTAAATTTTAAAAAAAAACTTAAATAGTTCATTAAACTCCCGGCCCCTGTTGTAATAGTTGATACGGTGGTGTGAGTAGATTAGCTATGGAGGAACCAATATTTAGATGACAATAAACTTTTTGTCGTGAGATTTTATGTATTCCGCATATATTATGTTACTTAAATACAATCCAATAATGCTTATTATTCTATTTATTTGTTTGAGACATTTGAAATGAAAATGTGAAAAATTGATAATAAGAGTGGAATTGTTTAAGAGGAAATTCAAACATTCTTTGAATAAAATAGAAAAACAAAAAACAACTTTAAGAGACTGTCTACAATGAAAACCCCTTAAAGCATTTATTGATGTTTGTTCTTTCCTTTTAGTAAGTCACTAATAAGTTAGTATCCTTGTGATGTATTGTTTAAGCAAAAAAAATGGTGTAAGTTGTATATTATAAAAATAGTTTTGAAACCAATACACAACCTAATTACCTTAATAAAAACATTAATAAATCTTAAATCTATGGTAAGAAGTGGAGAAAGGAATGGATGGGATGACATGAGATGAGATGGAATGAAATGGAGGAGACTAGGAGAGGACTCGGTAGTCAAATTATTAAGGAAAAAGAAAATAATAAAATCACCTTACTTTTTCCAACCTAATTCAAATTACAACTCATTAATAAAAAAATATATATAAGTTAATAAAATTAGCTTTAAATTAAACAGGAATTTTTTCATTAAAAAGCCACCATATATACAATAACTATGTTAGCAGAGTCTATTTTAATAATAATTAATTAACAGGTAAATCATTATCGTACTTTGGAAATTTATGGTAAACACCCCCTACACAAAACTTTGTTTTATTAGCACTTTGTGAATGAAATAATAATTTAAGTAATAAAAAACCGAGGATACAAAAACTCACAAAGTTAGTTATAAATAAAAAATTAAAAAAAAAACTCACAAAGTTGATAGCAAATTAGCAACCACTTTTCAACCTACCCTGTGGCTAAGAATAAAACATCATTGCAATCATTATATTCTAGAAAACATCAATCCAATCACACTTTTGACATTTTATTGAACTACTATCATTTGTACCCATCATTAGTAAAAATATAAGAAAAAAGTATAGGCATTCAATAACATGATATCATTATCCATTTATCTAGTTCCAGTAAACGTAACAAATGGCGAATCTTAGACAAAAAGTCTAGAGGAGTTATTGGATCTCATATCTCTTCATTTATAATAGAAACATAATTAATCGATACGAATATACTTATATTGCATCTTGTTAGGAAACCTTAGCTCATACTTAGTTTAGCTATACAATTCCATCTCTAAGAGCGTATTTCTTTTCATACAATTCCATCTTAGACAAAAAGTCTAGAGGAGTCGTCTGATCCTCATATCTCTCGATTAATAAATAATAGAAACATAATCAATAGAGCAAATTATTTTTCCAGAGTATGCTTATATTACATCATGTTAATAAACCTTAGCTCATTCTTAATCTGGCTATACAATTCCATCTCTGAATTTTTTTTTTCCTTCTTTTAATCCAATTTCACCTTGGACAAAAAGTCTAGAGTCATTCGGTCCTTATATCTCTCGATTAATAATAGAAACATAATCACTAGCTAGAGCAAATTATTTTTCCGAGTATGCTTATATGACATCTTATTAGGAAAACTTAGCTCGTACTTAGTTTGGCTATACAATTTCATCTCTAAAAATGTGTTTCTTCTCATCCAATTTTACTGCACTTCATAGTTCATCACATCTTTGGGCTTGCCCCTCTTTTTCACCCAAAAAAAAAAAAAAAAAAAAAAAAGTTCATATCACATGATTCACATCTAAACTAATACGGATTATATTTATATGATGTATTAACATACTTTCAAAATTACAATAAATTACCAACAACAAAAGTTAACACCATTTTTTACCACCTACTCTATCTATCAAACAGACCATAACAGTTATGTTTCCCTCAAATTTGATTCATTTGCACCAAACAAATCAACAAATCACCAAAACCATAGTTGAATTGAAAAAATAATACTTTTTATTCTAGAAATTTATGTAAGCAAACAGTAAGCCAATCTGTATTCAAATAAGCCAAGTATAGACTATAGTCCAAATATTCCTCTGCTTACACAAATCTTGGGTGTGAACTAATGCTCATATAGTCATATCTAAAATAATCCAAGCACCAGAAACTATTAGAGCACTAGACAAAGATAATTGTCTTGATTGCCACTAACAAATTGTTCAAGACATGAAAAGATCCAAGCTAAAAATCACTTAAACTTGAAACTAGCTAACAAAATGACATGTTAATCTTTCTCTACTTAAAAAACTTATAGCAGAAGAATGAATTAACAAAATTAAGCATGCTACTAAGTTAGTAGAGCATTATTCATGAACTCCAAGTTCAAGAAGAATTCTAAGAGCTTGTTTCTTCACAATCTTACCATAAACACCTCTTCCTAACTTGATTGCCCTTTCCATTTCTGCAAACCCATTACCACTTTTCTTCAGCTTCCTAACAAGAACTTTGAGTACCCTTTCATCACCTCCAACTGCTTCTACTAAGCTGTCCACAATCGGCTCTAATGCCGGTATCTTCCTCCCCCACCGCCTTACAGTCTTCTCCGATTCATAAGCCTCAGAAAATGCTTTCCAAAACGATGCTCGAAAGTAACCTTTCTCTTTTCCTCTCATCACCCACCTCCTCATGCACTCCTCTAATCGAAAAATGGCACAACCAACATCCACTCCTCGTTCGATTCCTTTCTCAATCTCTCCAATCTCGGGCTTGGATTGCATTTCTTCCTCGTATTTGCACCTCTTACACTCACATTGGAATCCCCATGTTTTGGCCATTTCTTTCCTCTTGCTAAATGGAGAAAGAACATCATAGTAAGCAAATGTGATCTCTTCCCCTGCCTTAACTACCCTAGAAGCAAGAACAACCACATAATCACCAATGTGCAAACGCCTTGCATTAGGACTACAAGAATGGTTGATCAAACAAGGGAGCAACCATAAGCCTATACCATAATAATCACTATTTTTCCCTAGAACTTTGCTCGAAACCGCCTCTTCGACAAGCGAATTCACATCAAGTACACTCAAAATCTTGTCTACGTCAAGGTCTTCAGTAGGAAAATTCACCCCTTCAGTTTCAGGCTTGAAGAGACTAATATCAGGTACTTCAAGATCATCTTCATTCTCTCCAATTGACAATTTACTAATCAAATGACGGATTTTGGGACATTTCGAGGCCGATTCGTTAACCTTATCTATGAAATTCTTCCACATAACCAATTGAGCATTTTCACCTAAAACCCCATTACTACATTTAGGTAAAATACATCTTTCTGTAGCAACAGCTTTAGTAACCAAAATTAAACTCCCAACATCAATATTTTTAGTAGAAAACAAACCTCTTCCACTAATTTCAGACCTTTTAATCTCAACATTACCAACAAATTCACCAAGTTCAGGACAAACCCCAGAAAACCCACCAGAAATCCAATCAGAAACATCAAAATTACCTGTTCTTGACAAATAATCAAGCTTCTTACATTTCTCAATAAACCCATTTAACATCTCTAAATTCCCATTACACTGTTGTGATTCAAGACCCAAAACCCCCTTAAAACAATCCAAAGCCAAAGAATATCTATTGAGATTGAGCAAGATTTTACCTTTACAAACAAGGGTTTTGAAATGGGTGTTGTCAATTTGAAGTGCTTCATCGCAATCTTTGAGGGCTTCCTCGAAATCCCTTAATCGAAACCGGGCTTCGGCTCGATTCGAGAAGGATAAACAGAGGGATTTCTGGAGTTTTAAAAGGTCTGATTGTTGAATTGTGTTTGAAAGAAGTTGTTGGCAAAGAGAGATGAATTTGGAGTAAACTTTAATTGATTCATTCCAATCTTCTCTGAGTAGAAGTTCCGTGGCTTTGGATCTGAGTTGTTGTAATGTTGTTTCTTCTTCCATTTCTGGTTTCTGTAATTTTGTGGGAATCTCGTTCTATCTAGGTGAATTGGGTTTTTGGTGAATTTGAATTGCGGGGGAATGTAACGGTCATCTTGAGAATACTTTGATCCTTTTTTTTTTATCAAAATAAATGCGATGCTTTGTAATGGCTAACGGCTACACTTTGAAACCTTTTTATTTTTTATTTTTTTTAATTGAATGTCTTTATTCGTTTTATTTATTTTGCTATGTGGAAATTACTTCCTCAGTTATTTTTTTTTTTTTTGAGACGAGAGAGATAGATAAAATAAAAAATAAACCCATGTGATAAGAGAGAAATCGAGAGAGTTTATTAATTAAAAAAGAAAATAATGCAACTAATTTGGAATTTCCGTTTTAAGAAAGTGATATACCTAAAAAACCGAAGGAAATATTTTTCAATATACCATTGAAATTGTTGTGGATTCAGCTTTCGGCAAAATGTGTTTTAATTTAGTTTATTTTGAATGAGCCGATCCGCATTAATATCCAATAGTAACAACTTTTAACATTCTTGAAATTATATGCCATGGAATATGTTATTTATTCTTTTCATATTACTAATGCTAATGTTAGTGAGGCGGACTAACTTTAACGGTGTTAGTAACTTGTATGTTAGAGTCTAGAACTTAGGAGAGAGAAAACATAACTTAGAGATAGAAAAGTATTGTATTATAGTGGGAGAAATTGCCCCAAAGTTCAATTTCTGACCGTAGTTCATTCACAAATCTGACCTCTTCCTCCTTCTCTTTCTATCTTCATCATCCATCCTCCAACCTTTCTCATCTTCTTCAACCTCTGTCATCATCAATGGCGCACGAACCCCAACACAACACCATAACAAACACCATGCTCAACCCCAACAACACCGAAAACCCTAAGAAAATTACATAAATTAAGGCCATGAGTAACCCTAAATGATAGGTGTTAATCATTGTTTGAGAGTTGAGATCTCGTTAATGGTGAGTCTGGTTCGTTAAGAGCACCCTTAAGGGTGAACAATTAAATGGTTCACAATGAGTGAACAATAAAATGGTTGGCTTAATGGCAAACTCTAAGTTTGTTCATCTTGAGTGGATGCAAGTTCGATTGTTGCTGCAATCAGTCAGAAGAACAAATTCGTTGTGGGCCCCACCCAAATTTTCCACTCAACTAAAAGCAAAACGACGTCGTTTCAAGGATATCTTTCAGAAAAAAAAAATAGAAAGCAGCGGCTGGGCCAAGTGGCGCGCTCCCAGCCGCTGCTTGACACGTGTTGTCAGTTTTAAATATATCCGTTGTAATTTTACAACGGATATATTTTACAAAATACAAATCCAAAAAAAAAAAAATTACCAACGGCTTTCTTTTTTTCCCCTCTATAAATAGACACTTATATTGATATACTTTCTTCAACTTTAAAAATCCATTTCTTTTCTACTATATTTTTCTCTTCAAAAATCCCCTCACTAATTACCAATATTATTATTATTTTTACCAATATTATTATTATTATTGTTATTATAATTTTTATTTATTATCATTAATATTATTATTATCGTTACTATTATTATTATTATTATTATTATCATTGTTGTTGTTATTATTATTATTATCGTTATTATTATTATTATTATTATCATTATTATTAAAGCAGAAAAAAAAAATTGGGTCAAAATATTATCACAAATCAAGCTAATTTCTATCCAAATCCCCCTAATTTTTCACAAACACCCACAAATATTCCCCATCATTTTTCTAGTGTTTATCCTCAAAGACCCCAGTCAAGTTTCCCATATAATCCACCAAATTTCCCTCAAAATTTAATTTTTCTCAAAGCAGTTCAAATTTCCCACATCCATCCATGACACCAATGGGTTACGGTGAATATGGTGCTGCATCTGGTTATTTTCCGTCACAACAACCGAATCCCAATATTTGGGAATCGAGCAATGTCTTATCTGAAGAAGATGAGGCAAATGAAGAATGCGAGGATGATGGTGAGGGAAATGAAACTCCTTCCCCCCATCAAAACTTCACTCAAATGTTACAGCAACCACTCCAATTAACTCCGGAATTTCGTGTTGGTTGTTCAAACAATAGAGGTTGGTCGCGATCAGAAACTGCGGCTCTTATATCCGCCTACATGAACACCAGCACCGACATAATTATCGGCACAAATCAAAAGAAGGGTGTATTTTGGAACAGAGTCTTGGACGCATACGATGCTGCCAGGGCATCGAATCCAGTTGAAATATCCCTACGAACTATTAGTAGTTTGAAGGGAAGGTGGATGCGAATCTTTGAAGCCGTGTTAAAGTGGTGCGGAAGCTATGATAAGGCCCGGAAGCGAAAGGGAAGTGGCTATAACGAAGATGATGTTATCCAAGAGGCCCACAAAATCCACGAGAACTCGTTCGGATGATTCACCTTCTACGAGGAATGGATCCAAGTTAGGAAGTGGGACAAATTCCGGTCTTTCTTGGACCAACAAACATTCAAGCCTTCGGTGGGACGTCCACATTCAACTCCACTGACGGATGAGTCTGTAGGGAGCGGAAGTAGTGGGAAAAGGACACGGGATGAGGGCGACAATTCCTCACCGACCAGCGTGGGTGTCGGTGATGAGAGAGTAGCTCGTGCTGAAGGAATTAAAAAGGCTAAGTCGAGGTTGAAGGGTAAAGCTCCATCAAGTGAAGCATTTAAGGAATTAGAAACATTCAACACCCGATTGCAACTATTTGGGGATTCGATGAATGTGTCAAACGAAGCGCAAATGAAGAGGCTTGAAATACAGGAGCGCAAGGAGGCAAGGAAACAACAGAAAATTGAGCTAGAACAACATAGGATCCATTGGGAGCAACTAGCTCGTCTAGAATAGAAAGTAAACCGAGAACAGTGGGAAGACGAAATGATAGTAATACTTCAGAACAAAATTAAAAGTTTCACTAATGATGCTTAGGCATTGTAATCTTCATTTTCAGTAGTGATAAGTTTTCAATTCCAGTTCAACCTCTTGTACTCATTTCCAATTATTTGTACTTTATCAATTAATCAGTAAAATGGATCTTTTCCACTATCCCATTTTCATAGCCCATATAATCTTTGTCTCTTTATTCAATTATATCAATTTGTCTCTTTATATATAATTGTGTCAGTATCTTAATTTCCCCTTTGTTAGCCCATGTGAAACCCTTCTTCTCCATTCAATTTCTGTGTGGTTCTAATCCAGTGTTTATCATAGCCCATGTGATCTTTGTCTCTTTATATTCAGTTATTTCTGAAGAAGAATTACAAATTAGTTCACTATAAATAAACACCATTCTTTCATTTATTTTACACACAAACACATAAATCGTTTGCAGTTATTATTAGCAAACCTCACTCTATCTTACATTTCTTACATAGAAAATGAATTCAAACAGTTTCAACTTAAGCTCAACCAATTCCTCTTCATCTTCATCTAACTCGGATGATGAGGGAAGGGAGCTTAGAGTTCAACAACGTAATGAAGTGTGTCTTATGATACAACACGTAATGCATGAGTACATTCCACCAATTATTCAAGCTGCCACTCAGCAACGCCGACGCAAATCTACTAAGCCCCGAAAGGATAGGGGACGCGAATAAGGTCATGCACGGTTATACAATGACTATTTCGCGGAAGTCCCAGTTTATCCAAGTTCCTTGTTCCGGCGCCGGTTTCGAATGCGTAAACATGTGTTTGACCTTCTCAACGCAGTGACCCAACATGACCCTTGGTTTCAACAAAGGTGAGATGCGGCAGGTCATCTTGGGTTGTCTCCACTTCAAAAGTACACTGCGGCCGTTAGACAACTAGCTTACGGGTGTGCTTCAGACGCTTGTGATGAGTATTTCCGTATAAGTGAGGCTACTTCACGATTGGCACTCCAAAAGTTTACAGAAGGTGTCATCAACCAGTTCGGTGATCAGTACCTACGCCATCCAAACATCGCAGATATGGAAAGATTGCTACGTATTGGGGAAGAACGTGGATTTCCTGGCATGATAGGCAGCATTGATTGTATGCACTGGGAGTGGAAGAACTGTCCACACGCATGGAAGGGGCAGTATCAAGGAAGAGCAGGAGTTGCAACTCTCGTACTGGAGGCAGTTGTGGACAGAGATCTATGGATATGGCGTTCGTTCTTTGGGATGCCAGGTAGCTGCAACGATATTAATGTGCTTCATCGATCCCCTGTGTTCGAAGACGTCTTAGAGGGTCGAACACCTGTTGTGAACTTCGTAGTCAATGGTAATCATTATACGAATGGGTATTATCTTACTGATGGAATCTACCCTAGATGGGCTACTTTTGTGAAATCCATTACGAGTCCACAAGCTCGTAAGGATCGTTTATTCGCAAAATACCAGGAAGCTGCAAGGAAAGACGTTGAACGCGCATTTGGGGTCCTTCAAGCTCGTTTTGCCATTATTAAAAAGCCGTCTTTGGCGTGGGATACCGACATACTCCACAATATCATGCTCGCCTGCATCATAATACATAATATGATCGTTGAAGATGAACGAGAGACGTATCAAAATAACGTTAATACCAATGAGTTTATGAATGCTAGAGGCAACGCTAATGAGGACACTACCGAGTACCGTACTGATCGTATTGTGGATATCGGCTTATACTTGACTCGTAGAACAGAGATTGAGGATCAACAGACTCATTTGCAGCTAAAAAACGACTTGGTCGCACATATATGGAATAAATTTGGTAACAACGAGAACTTACGCAACTAGGTTTACAACAAATGGTTATCCCTAAGGACATCTTACAAAACGATGTGTAGTAGTTCTTTTTTTTTTTTTTTTTAAATGTACTTGATTATAGTTGTAGTACTGTAATCACGATTGTACCTCTTTTTTTTTAATTATGTTAATTAAAATTAGTTGCGTCGTTGTTTAAAAATATTAATCACAAGAATTAGTTTTTAAAAAAGCTGATAAAAAAAAATGCGATAATTTCTTAATTAGTAATCACGATTAAAAAATTAAATACGTCAATTAATTACATTGACATCGAGTTAATAAATTATAATTATGAATTAAATAGATTATATTTACAAAAATAAAATAAGGTGGGTTAGGGAGTATTGATGATGAACCATTGTTTAGTGTTCATTGTTAAGAGTGAATATTGTAAATGGTTTGTTGGGTTGATGTGGATGAGAGAGAAATGGTGATAGTGACCCATGAACCATTTTTTTTTGTTCACCAATAATGATGCTCTTAGGTAACGACATTGATGTTTCCCAGTTAACTTTAATGGTAAACGTCATGAAGTTGTATTGTAAATGGCAGTTATTGGGCAAGTTAGTTGGCTACACTTGACTTTACATATCTGCCCCCCCTCCCCCCAAGTTCCCCACGAAATGACACTACCACCCCTATATTAACAAATCTTGTTAATTTAGGATATAAACTTGTATTTTTGCCTATTTTCTAAGCATTTTACTTGTTTAGTTTAAGTTCAATTGGGGCTTAATTTTGTGGCTTGCTTAGTTAGCCTTGTAGAAGTAATAAAGTTGTAAGTGAGGCGTGTAAGCATCAACAAAACACACTCAAAACCGGAAAAGAGAGAGAAAAGAGAATAGGGGTTTTGAGCTTCTTTATTTTCGGGTTTTCTTCGTCAAAATAAAAAAAAAAAAAAAAAAAATCAGATTTTCAAAAACAGCTTATTTGTTCATCGCCTAAACCTTCTAGAGACAATATTATTTGTTCTTAACCTAAATCTTCTAAGAAACGATATTATTTGTTCATAGACAAATTATTTGTATTACATGGTTAGTATTATTATTTCAAACTGGTCATATAGGAGGGAGAGAGAGAGAGAGGGGTCAACGTGAAACAAAAGAATTGCAAAAGAGAGAGAAAGTAGTCGACAAGAGAGAGAAGAAGACAAACGATTCACTTCCAATATTAATTGAGTGTTTCATAAACAATATAAAGGAGAAAAATTACCCCGTAGTATAGAAGAGAAATGAAAAAAATTCTTCACAGTTCAAAAAAGAATAAAAAAAAAAAAAAAAAAAGCGGCAAAAAATTGCATTGACACCATTTATATTATGTAATCAGCATTTTTTAGTTCAAACAATAATATTTCATAGACAATATACCTTTTTTTTAACACCATATAAACATGCCGTATTCAATTACTTTTTCCAATATACCTTTTTTTACAAAAACTGCCTCAGTTTTTATTTACTTGCAATACGCCACTTTAGCACGTACTTTAAAGGAGATATTAGACTATGTAAATGGACAAACTTATCATAAAATTCTACCTTCAATAAGAAAAAAGTGATAAGTTGCTAAGTTTAAATTTTTATAGTTTAATGTGATCATTTACTTAGCCTAATACTTTCTCAAATGACGTGCCAAAAAGTTGTGTTGCAAAAATGAAAAAACAGATAAAGTATATAATAAAAAGTGGAGGTATCAGGGTATCATTCCCCATTCTTAAATACTCGACTAGCAAGCGAGGAGGTATGAATGTGTTCATTTAGCACTTCAAAAACAGCAACAAGTCCCTCGTCAAAAAGAAAAAGGATTAAATAAATAAATAAATAAATAAATAAAAACAGCAATAGAGCACGTTAAGTTAATTTTTCAAAGACTACAAACATTATAACTTCTGAAGAGTTACAATTAACCTTAAATACAGTACAGAATTACAGATACAAAAATATTTGCCACTGGATGTACAAGAAAGGTGCATATATGTAAGTTTGGCCTTTTCTTCTCGCCTCAATATTGAGAATTTACAGTCCTTCAAAAACGGCTGCAGAATGTACTCCTAAGTCCTAGCCAAAGAAGTAAAAATGCATCCATGATCACATTGCAACTTCCACCACTTGCATAATCATGTCTCTCCTTCAGAAAGGTATGCTCATTCAGTCAGACCAAATTTTTTAAGTGATCAGCATCCCACGGCCGAGTTGTCTAGTATTACTCAAAACAAAGATAATAATGTTATTTGGGCTATTCCAAAATCTCTTCATACTTCCATTTTTTGAATTAAGGACTACAAATTAAAGAATATTATTGCACCGCTCACTATCACATTTACCGCTTTTCACCACTTATCCCAACGCGGTCCTACTTTATACACATCTAAATCATATGCATATCCATATACAAAAATACAAGTGATGAGATCAAAGGCAGCAAATGAGAAAAATTAGACATATTTTCTCCTGAGCCACACCTATAATGCTAACAACAAAAGTCAAGATACATACCATTTTGACTCAATCCTACTTGTATAACAGAAGGAATAATACAGTTGCACATGACGTTGATCATTTCTTCAAGACATACATTCCATCCCTTAGTTCCAACTTCTCTTCTGAAACGAGACCAGCTAAGAAGCTCTGGAGTTGTTGGAGTGATTTATCATACGAAGGATCGGCAACACAAAACATCTGCAGCAATATTTTCCCCTGATTTTCTTGGCACAAAATGGCAAAAATGTACAAAACAATGAAGCTTCTATGACCATAAATTTTACCTTTAAAGTGTTGTGAATCCGATCTAATGCCATACTGCCAAAGTTAGTCAGCATCCCCAAGATAAATTTCTGCAACAATTTGGAGAGGGAATCAGGTATCAAAGCCAAAGCAAATCCATGTCAATAGGGAAACAAATAGTTTGTATAATACAAGAATTCAAGCAACATCACCAGCTGGAATGATTATTAATGGACTAGATATTGCAATGCTTTTATTAAATACCAGATATTAAGCTCTTATCGTGTATGTTGTTTCGAATTATAGCTTGCATTGAAAAAATATGCAGGCACTTAGAATTCAGAGTCCATAGCATGTCGTATGTGACGTATCTGGTACATTGCTCATACTGTGAGGTTCTAATAGAAATGACAAACGTGTCCTACCGGGTTTTATTCAGCTTGTGTCAAAGATAATGGGTTGAAAAACCTCTATGCTACCCAACCCGTGTAATTAAATTTCCATGTTGTGTTTACCCGCTTAATTAAATAGGTTGAAAAGCTTTGAAACTAATCCCTTTTTTTCATGTCCGGTTCGTGTCGTGTCGCACAAAATAAGTTTTTGGTACTACAGATTTAGTATCAATTATAATAAACTATTGGTTAATTCTCTTAGAAAGTTAAACCATGTTAGTTTTGTATTGGGAATATCAACAGTAACCCAACTTGTTAAATTAAACGTGTTGTATCGTGTTCACCTATTTAATTAACGGGCCATAAACCCTTAACGCTAACCTACTTTTTTTGTATCCGATTCGTGTCATGTTATTGTGACGGGTTAACTTTGCCAACTTATGTCCTAAGCACTTGTTTGTCCCATCACAATAACAATCATCAACTAAATGCTTACAAACTTCAGGAAAGATAATGAAGTACCAACAATACAAGCATTACAGGTGTTCACAAAATGAAAGAGATGCTGAAAAGAGGCATCATTAAACTTCTACCAATATTACCAACGATACCAGACATCAAAAATCAAGGAAAAACAAGCATCTATGCACTGAGGAAGCATTTAACACTTAGTTCAGGATATGCCCTGCCTTACTGGTTGACCTCAGAAATTATTCAGCCCATTTCAAAAGTTACCATATTTCAAAGTTGTTCAACAACAAATTTAACCCATGCAATAAGATACAGACGTATATTTTGAGAAAAAAACATGGATCATATTACAACAGGTTACATAACTGGATCTTAAGTCATCATGAAAAGTAGTTCTAGTTGCTAGCAACAAGTACACACCAATCTCAAACAACTAACATAAGAAGCACCTTTTCTTAACATCCTTCAAGGATTTTGAAACAGAAAATTAGCAAGCTAGTGATAAATCTGGTTCTGCAATTCAGATAAAAGATGGTATATAGTGTATTCACAAAGTACTAGATGATACCAAATTATAAAGTTTGAACAGCTCCCAAGAGCAATATATTGAAGACAGAGAACCAGAACTTCATGCAATCAACAATGCATGTAGTTTACCAGATCAAATACAACTATTAGTCTACCACAACTACTCTTACTAGTGCTAGTCTTCTACATAAACTTTCAAATGCCATACCTCATAGATTGTCATTTCTTTGAGTAATTGATCCTCAACAGAAGCCAGTGATCTATCACCTTCTTCATCACCCATAAGATGTTCATCATTACTGCCCCCATGAGTACCAGTACGGTTAGAGTCAGCCCCTTCCATCAGTGAAAATATGTGATTATTGGTATCTTGCCCAGCTGATTCTGCAAGAACTCCCTAGAAGAAAGAAACAAAAAAAAAATGAATAAGAAATGCGTAACAGCATATCATCAATCGCATCCTATTTTAGTTCAAATAAAAATACAATTCATTTAGCATCTACCTTAAGTTGTGCTCATTTGTACTCAAAGAATCAGAAAACCAAAACTATGACAAGAAGAGGAACCACCGAAAATTTGAGCATAATACAGTTTATGCTGCATAGCCATGGATATAATTTAAATAGACCACCCTGTTAAAAAAATATTATTGAATAGTAAATATCACTTCACAATGAGTATAACAGGGTACCTGTCAAATCTGTTAGAACTGGAACCGTGTGATAGACTCATGCTTGATGAGCTACCACACACACCATTGACACAAAATACAGAAGGAAAAGATCGAATCTTTGATTGAAAATATTGAAAAGCAGGGATTTGTACAAGCTAGCAACTTTAGGATGCCAATCTCTATTAGTGACTTTAGGTCACCACTCTCAAATAGTGACTTGAGGTCACAACTTTAAGGATTTACTCCAAAATTCTGAATATCTTTTCCTTTTCCCCCTCTCTCTATTCATAATAAAGCTAAAGACTCTAACCTAATAATACTAGATTACCAATATTGCCCCTCCTTAGGTTAGTCTATTACATTACCGAAACCTGTTGCAACAGGTTTCTAAAAATGGGAACCAGAACCTGTTGAACAAGTTCCTAGAAAATGAGAACGGGTTTCGAGTACCCTGTTTGTAATATACTTAATAAATTTTTGCAAAAATATTTTTAAAAAATCTGGATGGTCACAAAGTTACAACTCACAGGCAACGAAAGCGGACTTTGAGTTGGTGCTACCTAAGGTGTCGCAAATGAGCTTCAGCGGATCCCTCTCCGAGCGGAGCCGAGCAACCCCCCCCCCCCCCCCTCATATGGCACAACAAACCAACAATAGTTATCTAGCAAATGTAATACAAACCAACAATAGTTGTCTAGCAAATTGAATAAATATATTTTTAACTTCTATTTTTATTTATATTTTTAACAAATCAACAAACGGCTTGAATTGGTGTATGATTTGTGCTTAAGTGATTTTTTTATCAGGTTTTGGCTTCAATCTGGGTACTCGGTATAGAAACCTATATCGATAGGGTACCCTACAAGTTCTGGTACCAAAAAATTGAGAACTTAAACCGGAACCGCTTCTCAATTTCATTACCTGGAACCATAACCTCTTGTCCAGGTTTTGGAACCAAAACTTAGGATTCCTAACAGGTTTCGGTTCCAATTTCGAGTACCCTGATTTTTTGCCCACCTCTAATAGCAAACACACTAAATGTTAAAAATTTAATTTACAATAAGAACACGATGATTTAATCAGAAAATGGAAAGCATACACTCTGTAACTAAGGGGACTCTCTCCATCCCATCATAAATATTCCTACTTATTTTGAAAGACAATCCATGCCAAATTATATCCTAGATAATAATCCACGTACAGCATTTTTAGGATTTGCCTACAAATCTACAATGCCCTTCAATTACAATCAGCAAAGTATCAAATGTCAGTTTATTAAATCAACTACTTCCTCCGTTTTTTTTAGTTGCATCATTGTCCTAAAAAGGAAGGTTTAAATTAGTTGCATCAGTTTCCTTTTTAACTAATAAATTCTCTTTATCTCTCTCCTACCACATGGGCCCCATTTAGTTTTTTTCTCTACCTCTCTTTACTCCAAAAATCGCCTAGGAGTCCGTGAAAACAAAAGTGATACAACAAAAAAATCGGAGGAAGTACATAAGATTAGACGCATCAATTTTAGAGCGTCAGCCCTTCCTGGGGAGATCAAAGCAGAAGTAAGGAGTAATAGACTACCACTACAAGTACGATAATTTTTCTAGTAAGTTATATAACCCAAAGTAGATATCTCTTGTTGACAGAGGGAACGAAATAGCATCAGAATTTACATAGCTCATCCAGATATTTTGTATCTATCTTCTGAGGATTTCTTACCTTGCTGATCCAAAAGTTTATCCTTCGGTTAAGAATGTCAATAGGCACCCCAACGGCAGTTGATAGATCCTTGGACGTCCAACTAACACAAAACATGAGCATGAAAGCGTTACACACTGACAAAAACAAGTGTAAAAGATACAATACAAATCTGGCACTTACCGAGTTTGGTCCTGAAATTGCATGATGATAGAGGCAAGAAGTGGGGTTACTGAAAATTGGACAGCTTTATCTTCAAATTGTAATTCCAGCTATAACAGAGAATAAACCAAAACAGACATAGTAAGATGGAAAATATAAAAGAGAATAAGGAAAATAGAGCTCAGCATAGATATAAAACAAGTAAGAATTATTTGACAGAAAATCATGCATGTAGTTGAGCTTAAACTGACAAACCTTGACAACACCGAGGTTCTTCTTCCATAATAGCTTGCGAGGTGTTTTAATTTCATGAAACCTTTTTGCATAATCTGATAAAAGCGTATCCACTGACCCTGGTAGATTAACGGGCTCATCCTGCCATGATTTGTCATGCTGTGTTAAAAGTGAGGAGCAAAAGATAAAGCCAGAAATGTTACACAAAAAGTGTTTCAAGCACTTGCTTCTAACGTAAATTTTTCAAATGCACAAAATATTTATTAGGCCAAGCTTTTTAGGGTCCACAAGCAGAATCTTGACCAAACACATCAATATCATAATCTCCATTTTTCCGCTTCTGAGAAACCCAATTCATACTAATTAGGGAATTTCCAATTTGATACATATATCTTCAAGGCCAGAAAAGGCTTGCCCATTCTCACTAATGAACTAAATTATATCCAATAGTTTTTGTTGTGAAAGTAGTGATTGTCTTTCCAATCAAGTTTCTATGGAACAGCCTATTTGTAGTTGCAGGGTAGGGTTATCCAAATCTGAGTATCTGACCTCTTCATGTCTCACCCAGACAAAAAATGGTGTAGCATGTTCCGGGCAGTTATAAGACAAAACTAAGTCTTATTAGGACCACAGATAACAAAATCTGTATGAAAAAACAGACTTGTCTGGCCCTCTCCCTTACCAGACATCAAGGCTATCACCCTCACCTGAAATCCCGTCTTACCAGACATCAAGTAACCATTGAAGCAAAGAAGCATACCTGGATTGGAGGCCAGAAATTTGATGATATTATCGTTGCAGCAAGAGCATCAAGCGAAAACTCAGATTTTCCCGCCTCACCTTCTACAAGAAAACTTCAGTAAATAAAATTCCCAATCTAAACATAGCTAGTAGCTACTCTTGGAAAAGATAAAAGTTGTAGAGTACCAGCTTGAGATGGCTTGGGTAAGGTTTTTTTGATATTGCTGTTAGTTCTCTTGGAATCAATCAGATCATTAAGCATAATCTCACACTTTTGCATGCTGCTCTCCCCGAAATGTATCTGACCAACAGGACAAAGTGAACAAGACATCAGCAATGTCATGTGAGAATCAGTGGCCAAGCAAAATCAGTTTCCAGTTGCTTCTCAAACTTATGAATTATTGGGTAGTAATGCCCATCAATCACAATGAATATCATGCACAGCATCATCAATACTACAGCTACCAACCTTCAGGAGTTCCAGTGTCCGTATCTCTGAGTCAATATCATAGTCAGATTTGTTCAGAAGCTTTTCAGCCAGCATAATACGATATTCATTAACCAGCTGATCCTTTGACCCAATTATCCCAACAATCATTCCAAGTACATCAACTTTCCTTCTGCTCCTACTACCCTTCAAAGGATCAGCCTCCACAGGATCTGGTTCCCAACTGAAACAAAAAACAATTCTGTGAACACACATACATAGAGAAAGAGAGAAGAAACGAAAGAAAGATGGACCGCGACTTAAAGGTCAGAGAAAATATAAGCATTGAATTATTTCATAGTATCTACTTCAGCTTTTCCACATTACTCCGTAAACATATTAAATATATAACCCTCCAAAAAAAAAAAAAAAAAAAAAAAAACAGAAACATACCAGGTAATTTTGGACTTAAATTTGTCAGGCCCAAACAAATTTGGAATTTTTTCAAAGGGTAATAAAGAAACTTTATCCATGAATACAATGGATGGAAAGAAAACAAGATTTTTTTGTATATATACTCCCTCCGTATTTAAATACTTGTTCCGCTTTCCATTTCCGACCGTTTTTAAATACACCATTTCCTTATTTGGAAAGTCTTTACAATATTTAATTCATTTCTCTCAACTAGTGGACCCACATAAATCATATTTTATTAATTTCATATTCTCTCTCATCCAATTCTCTCAACACTTTTGCTTTTTACAATTTTTTATTCTTCCACCTACCCCACTACCTCCATGTTTTATTACTTTCTCCAATTTCTCTTTAAAACTCCGTGCATGGAGAAATGGAGCAAGTATTTAAAAACGGAGTGAGTATATAGTTATAACGGATGCAAGAAAGAACAAATATTGAATGTAAAATTAACAATAAAAACAGACACAGATTTACATTGTTCACCGACAATGTGTTGGCTACGTCCACGGCAAACGAGAGTAATAGTTTTATTGATCTTGGGGAAAACAGATTACAGATTCGGAACAGATTTGAAACCAATCACAGAAAACAGATTGATTGTCTCTTGAATTTCTAATGTCATCTCTTGCAGAACTCACAAATGAGAAATACACACAAGAGTCACAGATAACTAAATAATCACTCAACTAATGATCATTGCATGCAGCTAGGAAAAAAACTAGGGGTATTTATAATGACCCATAGACTAGAAAAGATAGACTTTATTAAGGAAATAAAGCCCACGGACAAAGTAACCAAAATCGGCCCTCACGTCCAAAAACACGCAAAACTCGAAATCTGCTGAGACGTGCCTCCTGATGGCACGGACGTGCCTTGCCGAATACCTGCTTTGAAGCCTCATTGGGGCACGGACGTGCCTAGTCAAACTTCAACTACTTGAGGCATGGTCATGTCTTGCCCCACTTCTTCCTAGTTCCTAATCCTAGCTCCCGACTATCGATTCAAGGCATATTCCTTACATATATAAATGAGCAAGTAGTAGTAAATACAAGAACAGAGGATTAGAAGACAAATTGTCCTTGAAACAGCAAAAAAAAGACTACATACTAGTCGACCAGGCATTCCAGCGGTTGATCGCATATAGTAGTCCAAGAATCAAGAAATGTAACAAAACCGGATAGGTAATACGGAGTAATAATCAAAGATTATGCCAGTTCCACATGATCAAGTTCATACGTTATCCACTGCAATATTAAAAGCATAATGGTACAGGCATTGCCTCAACCACATTCAGGAAATCATTCTTTCTTGACTTCATTTTCTGATTTCAATTTTTTTTATTATTATAATAAAAACACAAAAATATAGAGGCCATCTTTGGCTCCCCTCTTATCCATGCAAGGATTATATTTCTTCCTCTGCAGGAGACAAATCGATATTGCTCAAGGAGTGGAAACAAAGAAGTCAAAATATTAACAAAAAGTTGATGAAAATGGATTTTCCCATGAAGCTTCTAATTTTTAAGCTCTAACACAGTTGACACTTTTCTGCTTTCCTGGCGTGAAAAAGACAAAAGCTCCATGAAAACAGAAAACAAATATAGTTGCACGTCTTCACTAGAGTAGAATTTTTCAAGAATCACAAAATGCCAGAGAAAGAATCAGGGAAAAAACCCTAAGACCCACCACCTACCTAACATGTTTTAAGTTTGAACTTTTTATCTACATTTGATCAAGAATTCCACTAATCAGAAGGTCCATTAATGGCTTACCACATTCCCTTACAGAGATGTGGTAGGTTCAATCCTCTAAATATAATACTTCCTTCTTTCATTAGGTATTAAGCTTTCAAGGAGACTAGATGAATTTACAATTACATTACTTGCAGAAATTAATAAGAAATAAACCCTGAAATTGGATTCTAATATGTGCTATCTCGATGGCATGAATATCATGCAAGGATACTTATTAGCCACTATGCTTACAAAATTAAACAAGAAGGTCATCCAACTTTAAGATGTACATACCGTTGAGCATTAAGCCATGCTTGCTTGTCATCAGTATTAAAATCATCATCAAGATCAATACTGTCTTGATTTTCCTCGTCTCTATTCAACTCTTCAAGGAGACTGTCCCCTGCATTGCCAGAACTTGCATTTCCACCACTTCCATCAGTCAACATGGTTACAATGCATTTTATGGTGTCTTTTCTTCCCCTTAAATATTCTCGTATAGGCTCACCAACAGCTTCAAGAAATATACCAGCTGGGTCTATTGTCCTAAGTGCTTTAATAGTTGAAACATATTGGTGCAATATATCATTAGTTGATGCACCAGCAGTAAGCAAGCGGTACTTTAGAGCAGATATGAATGAATCAACTAATTTTGAATGTTGCCCAGTGTAATCAAGACACTGTTTCAAGTCTTCGATAGCTGGTGAGCTACAACACCAAAAAGATGTAAGCATGACGTAAGCTGATGAATAACAATTATTAAAGATTCCATGTGTGCTGTATACCTCACATCACATAGAAGCCAAGTAAGTTATTGAAGAAAGAAAAGATCCATACATAAAATGTTGCTAGCAATAAATTAACAAATATTAAAGATTCCATGTGTGCTGTATACCTCACATCACATAGAAGCCAAGTAAGTTATTGAAGTAAGAAAAGATCCATACATAAAATGTTGCTAGCAATAAATTATTTTCGTTCTTCTTCTACTGCTTAAACGTCTTAATCCTATAAGTGGGTCCGGCTACATGAACCAACATGAGGACTTCCCAGGAGGTCGCCCATTCTAGTACTAATCTCAATCATTGCGGCTCATGTCAAGCGATGTGACAAAGTCTTACAGCAAAAAAAGAGAGAATGTATAGTTGAACCTGAAGTCCACCAGAAATCTTGGCGAAAAGATAAGGGATGCTTAAGGAATCCCCCATGAACATAAGTCAAATAGAAGCTAAATACACTACTGGCTCTCATAAATTAATTAAAGAATAAAGACCACGGAATTCTTGTCATTTCTCTCCAACCAATCTCCAATGCACTCCATAAAGACATAAAAGCATCCTACCACATTATAAATGATGGCTTTTCTAAACGTAGCCCTAAGGACAATTATATGCATTAAATATATACAATTAATAAACTTGTACTTCCTCCGTTTTTTTTTCTTAATTGCACCATTTGGGATTATACACTATTCACACAACCTCCTTTGACCATGTGATTTATCTGTAAGGAAAAACATAGTCATGTGCGATCTCGTTAGATTCATCTTGACGTCTACTTATTAAATATCAAATTTTTATAACTTTTAGTTGAGTAAAATTAAAGATATTAATGGCCAAAGTATTACATCGGCATGCGTGAAATGGCAAATGGTGCAATTAAAAAAAAAATGGGAGGAAGTATTAATTTAGGAAATCATTACCAAATCATGGGTCAATGTTCAATTAATGATTAAGGTTTCTTCTACTTTCAGACTCTTATACTACCTTAGGGCTACCGGTTGTGTATATCCTTTGTCAAAATTTAACCCCCCTTTTCTTTCAAATTTATGATAATTTCTCTATAAAAGATCCCAAAGAGTAAATGGATTTGTACCAAACTAACATCTTCCCAAGTTAAGTTGCTACCAGACAGTGAAAAAACAATTGATTTTTTGCCTCCTCACTTGCAAGACAGCCCAAGACATAAGCACACATGGGAGGGAATAAAATTTGTGTGGTATCAAGTGTGCAAAAATGCAAATTATCACAAGTATAACCTTCCATAAACTAAATACCCAAATTAAAGCCACCTCACTCCACAAGGATACTAGAAAAGTTACTTCATCCCACAGCAAGACATATGACAGGGTAGCTCCCATAAAGACATGTGAGTTCTGTTCAAACCACTACACCTCATTTCTACAAAAGCATTGTGCCAGCTTCTTGCTCAACTCGACTCATTAACGAGTAGAATTTGAGTGGAGTCAATAAGTTGAGCTGCGACCATGTGAAGTTCAAGTAGCTCACAAACATACTCACTCATTTAGCAGGGAAAGGATACCCATCACTGTACCAGTCCTGAAAGGGAAGAAAAAAGGAGAAATTTTTGTATCGGAGCAAGGAGAAGGTTGAAGAGTGAAGAATAGAAAGAGGAAAACTCAGCTTGAGTGAGCTGCTCACATGCAGTTAGCTCACAAAGAATAGAAAAGGAGCGACTCTTTTGATGGGACGCTTTTTTTTACAGTAAACAGGCCTTTTCAAAGGACAAAGACCCAGCTGCATGATTTTCTGCAACGAAACAAAAATTGTTGGGATAGGAACCAGTTCTCCACGCACTAGACACGTGACCTACCAAATGGTTGCAACAAAAATACTACGTTGCTAACAGTTATTATTTTGATGAACCCTAAACAGAGACCTGTCCACTTCCAATTGAGCCAAAAGAATCACTATTCCGTTTAAGGTGGACAATCATAATGGTTCATTACACCATATGCGAGTCTAACTCATTGTCATTTTGTGATACATAAGGTTGTGTTTTAAGTTAAGGGTCTGAGTAAATTGCCTCTATTGTCACATGCACAAGCTGCATTTAACCGTCCTTACCTCAACCTGGAAAAAGCTTCATTGCACAAAGCACATTGGGAATTTGGGACAATTTTGATGTGTGTCAAGTTGAGATTGCAGAAAGCATGGAGTAATATGGCAACACAAGAATGCTTTTTGTAAATCGTGGGAAAACAGTCTACCAGGAAAACAGATATAAGAAAGGGACTAAGAAATGTAAGAACTATAAGGAAAATAAATAGTAAAACTCAATACCTGTCAGGATAATCCACTATTATATCAAATAATTTGGCTATCCTTAAATCTTGCAATGTTTCATAAGCAAAATACTCCAGCCGCAATTTCCATCTGATGAGACCTTCTGATGGAGAGTCCACACCAGGATAGAATGAAGATGGATGTGAAGCCAACGGTGACTTGAGACCGTAAGATGGGCTGTCAGGGCAGACAGAATCGCCAAGATAAGTAAGGAGTGCATGCAAGAATTGGAATGGTACAGCCTGCAACCATATCCATAATCAATTGCCATAGGCTGCCATAAAACTTAACGCATTGAAGACTCGTTGACTTATATTAAACCATCCATGATCCATCACAATAATCAAGTCATTATAAAATCTCATTATAAAGGCATTGAATGCCTGATTTCATAAAAACCTTCAGTGGCCAATAATACATGTATTATTGACATGTTTGCAAGTATCATAACTATATATTCATATTGTTCACCAATCAATCATCAAATACTCAGATAATATGTCAAAAGTGAGATAATTGATAAACAACTATAGACACAAAACATTAATAATGCATAGGCAATAACAGCTGATGATCCCCCCAAAACCAAATGATATTTATGAGATATACCGATCATTTTCAACACATGTCGGAAATGTAATACAATTTCAAACACAGTCAGTACGTAGGCAAAGCAAAGGTGCAAACCCTACACATCCAATGGCTAGCTACATAGGAACTGCAAGGATGAGCACTCAGTGGACAATAAAATTGGAGTCAACTGGATTTAGTATCTCAAAACCAGACACAATGTGGCTGAAATTAATATTCTAGTTTCATGAATTGTTTTCCATAATGCTGAACTTTGCCCTTCTATGAGACATCATCTAACCTCCAACTCTTTTAATTGTATCATTGCCTCATTGGTCTCTTGCTTGTATAATTTCCTCTCCTTCCCCCATAGTCCCTTCTACTCCTGATGGTGTCATTCAGTACCTGTGTTGTTTAATGCTTCTTCTCCTTCAATACAATATTCAACCATCACCTCACTTGTAAATGGTCCTTCAGAATTTGTCCTGATCCTCCCTTGCAACATACCTCTATGGTGTATGGACAAACTCCTGACATATTGTCCCTCAAACAATCTCCTTCTGCCATTCACTTCCCTTGTCTGCTATCCATGGTTCCCTCCTCTTCTATTATAGTCTTAAATGCACCTCATGCAAACTCATTCTTGATAAGATACTTATAAAGCAAGCTCAACAAAATCTTATCATTATAATGTCAATCAAATTGAACTACCTAATTACACGCGTCAAAATATGACCATTTAAAGGAAAGCCATGGATGATAAGTTGAAATATTGTATATACTGATCCACTATAATGCAATTAGAGCACTCACAACAGGAATATATTATGAAAAATTACCTGTATCCACACTTTGATGGAATCCAGGACTGAACTCCTATAATCATCGCCAGCCAAATCTTGAACTTTATCCTGTCAGTAAAACAAAAAACAAATAGCCAATTACCCAAGTACAGCACAAATTTAGAGTTAGCAGAGCAGAACAAGAACTGAAACTATATGGGGATAAACAGCTTCAAATATTACAGAGCATCATAAGTTACTTTAAAATATCTGAAAAGGACTATTATATCAAGATTTGATAAGCATCTTTAAAATACAGATACATAAGATGACTACCTCTAAAGAAAGGTACAATAAAAGTATAAAGGTTGGTATAAAATAGATCAAAATAGTTATAGTCAGAGCATCAGCCATCAAGGTCACCAGAAATTAGAGAGATTAAGCATCAACTGTTTTTAGTTATGCCATCTTGGTCATCACAAAAAAACAGTTTGAGATCACAGGTTGATAAAGATATTAGTAAAGTGACTCTTTCAGGTCACTGAACCATGAGTGGCATTACTCTTAGCCCCATCAAACCAAGCAGTATTGGCCAATATTATGTATCTAAGTTCAAGGCTTTCAAGCTAATATCAATTCATATTAAAATGCCTTTTATTTTTATGACTATAGCTCTCTTTATACAATCCAACTCACTTCATATACAGATGAAAGTATGTAATATTTGCTACACAAAAGAATCCATTTTGAAGACCCGGTATAATGAGCAATAAAATATTCTGCCAAATCAAAAAGACAATTACAGACCAGGACAAGGCAAGATGATGAGCTAGTTACAGCTTACAGTATTTATTCTAAACATTATCTTTTGCTAAAGAAATAATAATTCATATTTCTTCAAGAAGGATGCATACTTGTCAGAGGTCAGAACTAGTACCACTTTCAAAAATTACTGTAAACTACGGTGGCTAACGCACACGATAAGTGCACATAGCTTGCAATGTTCTGGAATGTCTTTCAATTTGTTTATGTCACAGCTTTAGTTTTAAAGGGTATAATTCTATAAACACTATTAATACTCTTTCTGTATTTTATTAGTTGCTCCACTTTCCTTCTGCAACCGTACTTTATTACTTGCTCCATTTCCTTTTTTGGAAACCTTTCACAATATTTTACTAATTTCCTCTTTCCTAGTGGACCCCAAACTATCATACTTTAATATTTCCATATTCTCTCTCCTCCCAATTATCATACTATATTCTTCCACCAATCCCACTTCCTTCATATTTTATTAGTTTCTACTATTTCTCCTAAAACTCCGAGCATGGAGAAATGGAGCAAGTAATTAAATACAAAGGGAGTAAGAGTTATCTCAAACTTTTTAAAAGGAGGGGAAGAAAAGGCAAAAAAAAAAAAAAAAAAAAAAAAAAAAAAAAAAAAAAAGAGGCCAAAAAGCTACAATGGTAAAAACGAAAGGAAAAAAAATTGCCACACATGTGATTTGCATGTATAAATGGGGGTACATATGTAAATAGACATTTTAAGGGATATAGTTGGCATAACACTGTTCATAAGCGTTTGGTTAAACTTTTAATAAGATAGAGATAATCAATAACTTCTATAGAGCTCATAAAACATTTCTACATATTGCATTTTGACATTGGTTTTTACATCCACAAACTTGATCAAATTATAATTTTTATCTGTCCTTCTCAAATCCTAGAAGTCATACTTCCCTGGAATCAAATTCCCACATAGAAATGATCGAAGTCATTCAATTGAATTGTTCTTTTTTTTTTTTTGACAAAAATCCCTACACCCTTCAGAAAAGATAGTAATAAAAATAAGCATAGTGGACAACTACTGCTGTTGGTTGTAGTAAAGTAGTAGCTGCTCACCTTTAATAGCAAAAAGATAGCAGAAGCATAGGCATCCTCAGTCATTGATGTGAATCCAAAGCTTCTTAGGTCTTGAACCACCTTTCCAATGTTCTTAACTAATAAACTGTTCTCAGAGAGCTTCTTCCTATTATGGTGTTCATCAATATCCATCTCACCAACCCCAGAGAATGATTTGCGTTTCTCATCCAAATCCATATTCTCTTTATCATGAAGTACTTCCTGGAAGCCCCCATCCATTAGGGTACTTAGCTCTTCCAGCCGTCTCTTAAAATACTGATTTAAGATTGCTGAGTAGTCACAAACATAAGACACCAACAATATATTCAACATTATAAAAGTGACGATGAATCATCAATGCCTTCAAAGAATGTCAAAATCTTCCACTCCCAGGTCCAATAATATGTAAATTTTCTTTATTAATCACCTAAGTAATGCAATAAGATACTTGGCAGTTGGCACTGGCATAGGTCAAGATGGTAATTTCTGATTTCCTCGGTAATGAATTTGATTAATACTTTATATTGACAGAATAATAGGCGCCATATCAAATCCAGTGCTACAAAATTGTATGAGTGCAGAATAAGAATTCAACAGATCTGTGATCCACATAATACTCAAACAATAAAGCATTGAAACTTCAAAGCAAAGAGTAAATGAAATCAATATAATCAGTTAATATATCTCCTCATCATTTGCATAGCAAAATTTGCAATTGCAAATTCGGAGACAGATACAAACTAATAAATGCGTAGAATTGCGCATCCTTAGGTTGTACTTATTGAGGAATTTCAAATCAGAATCGAGTCAATCTACTTCTTTATAGGTATACCAAGAAGGGAAGAAGACAATATAAGTTAATCAAACAATCAACTATAGAGCGTTAATTTGAAGCCAGTATTTGTCTTCTCAAGCAATTGGAGAACAAATTGTAGATTATTATCTATAATCAGCAGTAACATGATGAAAGGCCCACATTGATAGAGACCACACTGAGGTTGCTTAGGTCAATTACAATTGAACCATAAAATTATCAATCTAGCAGTCATTGCATCCCTTTGCTGTTGGTAATGGTATCAATTGACGACCCCATTATTCACAAACCATCTAAAGAATAATAATTTATTATGAGGAGAGTGACAGGTAAGACATACCAGGAAACTGACGTGGAATTGAAGCCATGAGTACTGAAGACACCATTAGCTTGTAATTAGAAAGAAGATACACTCTTTCTGCATCTGAGCTATGTTTTTTATCCAACGTACTATCTCTGTGGGATTGCAGGCTATGAACAAGCATTAATAAAGTTCTCTCCTGGCATTGCTTCACCAATGATAATTCCTCCAAAGCTTTGTACAGTACTTCCTCTAAACCACTCGCTTCATTCTGCCCCCACCCGCCGAAAAAAATAAGGTTAATTGCTTAACTTTAAGAATTTATCTGTATAAGCTGTTGTTCTCTTCACCTATTCTTATTACTTATTCTTGTTAAAATAAGACCAAAAATTCTTAATTTTGTTTGCTTATTGCCATGTATCTTAGATTTCGAAAAGTTATGAAAAGTATATATTTGAAAGCTATACATTGAGATGAATCCAACAAGATCCCACTTGATGATGTTTTTTCTTACAACATTGACGTACAATTAAGGTCAAAGTTCAGTTAAATCAAACAATCAGATCAAACTAGAAAAATTCAGACAGACCAAACCAGACCAGACTTTAGGAAATTTAGACGAGAATACCTTATTTTAGGCTAAGAGAATAAAGCTGAACAAACATAATTAAGCTCATAAGTTGGAGTTGTTAAGACAAAGACAAACATGTATATGTGATGCACCTGACTTTCTGCAATAAAAGCATGGGAGAGACCACAGCCTATTTTCTAAATAACAAAAGGAACAGATCAAGAATTTCTTACAAGACTATACCAAATCAAAGTAGTTCTTATGCAATCAAGTTTGTCTCAAATTAGTCATATATGGCTGCAAATACGCAAGTTAGATATTAGAACAGTAGTTAGATATTTAAGTTTTCATTTAGTAGTTGAGGCCTTGGCAGCTACGGAGTATATACAAAAAACATATACAGCATCAGAATATTCTCAATGTATGAAAAGCGTGGTAAAAAGATCAATGCTCCAATCTAATATTCTAATGATGCTATATTCTCTTTGCTTGAGGCTTTTTGTCTAACTTTTCTTATTCTTTGGGATGTCTACAAAAGTATATATAGCTTAGATATACGCACCATCAACATTGAACCATTGATGTAGGCATCAAAATGATGCCAAAATCTTGAAGCACCTCTTGTCTCAAAAGTTACCTGTAATAGAACATCAATATACTGGAATGATTAATCCTTATAAACTGTATTTAAATAAAGAAGAAATTGAAATAGAGAAATACTCTCTCTGCTTTATAAAGTAAAGAAACTAAACTATAGTTCTACCTTGGAAAGAGTGTGGGTGCCTTTTATAGTGAGGAAAATGGTATGCTTCACTTTATGATTGAGGTTTATTTATTAAGCTTAACTCAGGGTAACATAGTAAAAAAGGAAACTTATGTCATTGAACACAAAGTATAAAGGAGGATAGACCTCAGGATGCCTTGAGGAGCTAAATACCAAAGTTTCAGTTAAAATATTTTTTTTTTCCCAATATTTTAACAAAGGCTTTATGAGTTCTACTGTTCTTTATTCTAATGGTAAGATATAACAATGTTGCAAAAAATCTAGAGGATTAAGGCTTACCTTATTCAATATGTTATTAATAATGACTATAATTCTTAGTACAAGAGTCTCGCCACTATCAAGTTTCACCTTATTAACTTAAAGGACCTATCAACTGAGAATGCTCAGAGCTGTACTGACATCTACCAATTAAAAAAAAAAAAAAAAAAAAAAAAAAAAAAAAAAAAGCCCCAAAACAATGCTATCCAAATCTAAGAAATTCTAAGTACACTCAAGTCTTGAGTCTGAGATCGAAGCCCTTTGAATCACAGAGAGAAATGCATAGCAATCTATTCGTTAAGGATTTACATCTCATTAAAAAAAAAAAAAAAAAAAAAAACCTTTTGCAGCTCAAGTAGGACCGAGAATAACCGGAAAAAAATAAAGCCATCTCGCTTATCACTGCCAATTCATAAACTACTCATCTCAAATGAACTGCACAACATAGCAGTTCATTTGAGATGTAAATACTTAACGGAACAGATTGCTATGCATTTCATCTACTATCTGCCTATTGACTTATAATTACGCCATCTTCCTTAGTCTTTAACGCGAGGCAATAACCCCAAATCGCATGTGAGTTATCAGCATTACAAATACATGTTATTAATATCATATGTACATGCCATTTCCCCTCCCCACCCAAAACTCCCTTCGCCTCGCCTTAAAACCAAAAAACATTGTCATTTTTAACAAAATAGATATATAAAAATAAAATAAAATAGATAATGAAAAACTCAAAGAATGGGAAGATATGATAAATAATGGTTGTAATAAGTAGCAGAAACAGTGAGAACAATGAGAAGAAAGGAATTGAAGTAGTACCTCAAGGGATTGAAAGAATTGATCTTCGACGAGCGATCGAAGGCCATGATTACAGAGAGAATGCACGTAAGAGACAAACTCGTCTTCAACATCGACTTCAACATTACCGTTCAAAAGTGCGTCAGTGGTGGAGCAAAACCAACTCCAACTTTCCAGAATTTCTTTAATTGAATCAGAGGAGAGAGAATCTAGGGCTCCCAAATTGCAATCGGAGTGTAAAATCGACTCCATTTTTAGGGATTTAAGTTGAAATTGATTGGGAAGATGAGTTATTGAATTGGGGAAAGAGGGTTTAGGGTTTAAGGAGAGGAGAGAGAATAATAATTGGGAAAAACAAAAAAGAAAGGGTGAAATGGCCGGAGTTCAAGTTGTTTTGAAGGTTTGGCGCCACTTCTACAACAAAACTACGTATGACAAGAAGCATTAAAATTTATTTTTGAGATAAACATGCGATATTGACAATGTATATCACAAATTCACGATGTACGGATTACAATTTATTTGTTCTCTATTATTTTTTAAGTACTTTCATAAAGTGACATGGAAATAAATGTATCAAATTGAGAGATGATATCTCCCACAATAAACGCATGAATTATATATAAAGTGTGTCGTATCGTTCTTATGTTTGGTCTTGGGTCAATTTTGCGTTATTTACAAAATCTATCAAAAACTATATAAAATGTAGGATTATTTCATAATTTGACCATTCATCAAGACAGATCATGTTCAGGTTGGTTTGGTATCGTGTCCTGCCGACTTCGTGTTTTCTCTCAATAATTTAGCTCTAATTAGGTGTACTAAGTTTTGATCAATGAGAATTAGGTGAATATAACATTAAAACACACATTAAGTCAAGTAACGCCATGTGAATTTATTAGGTGAAAACAAAGTCAGGGAGTAATTTCGAAATATTAATAGACTGAAATCATTACTTGAGATTTACCAAAATGAGTTTTAGCGTAATTTAACAATTTTGTGTTGTTTGTACTATCACCCGATACAAAACCCATATGTCAATGACCTAACGTGTTGTAATGAATATTTGTTGAGAAAAAATAAATAATTTGAGGTGATTTCTCATCCAATTGGACTATAATCTCTCAAAAAAAAATGGTACAAATTAGACCATCATTACCATAAAATTAGACTATCATTACCATGAAATTAGAATATGATTTCTCATAAAATTAGACTATGATTTCTCAAAAAAATTTGGTACAAATTCATTTCTTATATCACCATTATTAATAACAATCACATATCAAACGGTTCATCATGGGCATTTGATACAAAAGAAATTTTCTAGTTAGTCCGCCGCTTGTGAACAAATTACACAACTCATTAACCAAAATATTCATGGAATGATATGATTAAAGTTTTGAACATGGGTTTAATCTTTAGCATCCATCAATGTTAATAAGGTGGATATGATGACATTGTTACTAATTATATTAGCAACGGCTAGGCAATGTTACGATGTAGGGTATAAATGGCTGTTCTAGATATGTAAAAACGAGGTGAGAATAAGTATAGGGTGGGAAATTTTGGTTTATATAGGATTATAGGGAGATTTAAGCTAAAATATTATTAAGTAATACCATTAATTCATTGATATGATGATGCTCATCAAAATTATTGCGAAGTATTAGACAAAATAGTCTACATATTTCATCTAATCATGTTATAACTACTACCTTCAATCACATTTTATATGAAATGCAAATAACATACCGCTTCATATGGTATATTTTTAAGGGCAAATAAAGAAGATTATACAATTTTTGAAATAAAATAACGTTACATTATTGCTTGTAACATGATTTTAAGAAATATAATTTTATTTACACATAAATAACGAGTACATATTTATGGTTTCATTTATGAGTAGATAGCACCTGTAAAACAAGAGAACAACTTATAATTCTTATTATTATTATTATTATTATTATTATTATTATTATTATTATTATTGTTGTTGTTGTTGTTGTATCTTTGAATTATTTGTTTACGACCAGAGCTAGAAGTCCTACCAAAATCATTTGCTTCATGGTTGAACTTATACTCATAGTTAGCTCCAAATCCTATGGCGGATCCAAATCGTCGATGCCCATTTCTTCTTACATCAATCTCACCATGTGTCTCCAACGAAGGGGCATCAACCTTGACATTTTCTTCATCATGATCACCATGACAACAAAAATCAATGATATGTTGAGTTTTGGGCATTTGGGCAGCTCCCATTGAAAGACTCTTGTATCGCCTACGACGAATGTTGTTTTTCTTAATGGCCTTAAAAACCATAGGAATTAAGCCCTCCATCACCTTATATTATGAGTAAAGAATGTTAAAACTAAGTTATAGAGCATATGCCCAAGGAGGAGGTTGTGCTTTAAGGTTAAAGAGTTTGAGCTTCCTTCTAATTTTTTTCTTTATTTTTTCATTGATTTTTTCCATCATAATGGACGTTTTGATTTAGATGTTATGATAAAAGGTCAATGTTGAGTTTATTCATTATATACATTTTAATTGAAAATATCTTCATCCAACAAAAACGGGGTACTAAACTACATATCGGATATAATCAATCAAAATTTCTGCTGGCATAAGTATTAAATAGCTAAAAATAGTGCTCAAACATTTTGTAACAACTAAGATAGAAGCAAGGCTTCAATCAATTTCTTTCTTTTTTGGGGAGAAGTGGTGGGAATTTTGAACTAATAAATTATATAACCATGTATAAATTAAATAAATTTTGAATTAATAAGTTAAATAACCATGTATAAATTAAATATACAACGGCCAAAACTTACAAAATATAGTTTTCATTAATGTTATATATTACATCTTTTTTAATAAAATTTTAAATGGCGTGCATATTTTATAACATTCAATTTTATTTTTTTTTATTTTTTTTTTGTTTTTTTGTTTTTGACTCTTATAACATTCAATTTGAATATGACCTACTATTAAATTCAAACAGCTTCCATAAAAAATAAATTAAAAGCGAGTATAGAATTTAGAAAAACAGATGAAAACAATAAGTGAGTAGAAATAGGAAAAATTGCGGAAATATAAATATTACTCCTTCCGTTTCATTATAATCGAAATATTTTTCTTTTTCTCCGTTTTATACAGTAGTATTTATTTATCTCTTCTACTAGCCGCACTTACCCTACTTTTAGGCCCTGTTCACTTTACCTTAGAAAAAATAATATTCATTAAAATTAATTTCAGTTTAGTAAAAATAATTTCAGTTCAGCAAAAATAATTTCAGTTCAGTAAAAATAATTTCAGTTCAATAAAAATCAGTAAACTTAAAGAAGAAATTGTAACACCCCCGATTTACTAATTAGAAATAAACAGGAATTAAAGGAAAATAAACAACCTTTAAATAAAATTGCGGAAGCATACACCTGAAGCGGACGTATTACCGCCACACTCGACAACTTGTCACATGCTAAGGCTTAAAAAATCCCAATAATACAACTCAATAATCTAAGTGAGCTATTAATAAACCTTTATACATAAGATTACAATATACTTAAGCTACTAAGAAAATCTGAAAATTTAGTTTGTTATTATCTTTTGGAAAAATCAACAATCCACGCTTGAAATATCAAAATAGTAGCTTAATAAAATATGTAGAAACGTAAAAACTTTTTATTTTGATACTAAAACAATACAATTCATTTTACAAAGTCTGAAATTTAATTAAAAGTTTTAAATTTGAAATTTTAACAACCCATTAACATAGTTTAATTAGAATAGCCAAGTAGTATAAATAGAACTATAAAAATATGATTTAGAATAGTTTAAACCCAAAAATCTATACTCTTATAATCTGAAAATTTATTTTTAATCATCAAAACTAAAGATTTAACACTATGTAAACACAAAGTAATTAGTTATATCAATTTATCACGTTTTAAACCCTAATTTCTTAATTAAATAAATCTGAAAATCAATTTCATATTTTAAACATCATAAACTCATAGAATTGCAATCTTTTTATAATTGAAAATCAATAAAAATAATTCCAGTTCAACGAAAATAATTTTAGTTCAGTAAAATTAATTTAAGTTCAGTAAAAATAATTTAAGTTCAACAAAAATAATTTCAGTTCAGTAAAAATAATTTCAATTCATTAAAAATAGGGTGAAGTGAACGGGGCCTTATAGTATTTGACAAGATAAAGTCGTATCTCCTAATCAAAAGAATTACCTAAGTCTTCTAACAAAAGCAGATAGGGAAGTAGGGTTGAATCCACAGGAAAACAAGTCTTTCTATTCATAATTAATTAATATAAACTAAACTATCAAGTAACCAATTTATTTTTTAGGGGAATTAAACTAAAGGAACTAATTAAATTAAAACGATTAAGAATTATGGGTATAGGTTCACCAATAAATAATATTCCAGGGTAAAGCATTGTAATCAATCGTCAATGCATCAATTAATCAGATCATAAAGGGTTTTCGCTATGTATTATGATCACAGAATTAAGGAAATTTTGAATTTTAACACCACGAAAAAACCCAAAAAATGGTTTTTAACACCCCCATAAAAAAAATTTATTTTAATACCAGAAAAATTTTACAAAAATGGTTTTTACCACCACTTAACGATCTCCATCCAAAAATTCCGTTAAGTGGGATCCACAGTGACACGTATCACCATTTTACTTATTTTTAAAAAATAAAAATAAAAAAAAAGAAAAAATAAAAAAAAAAATTCCTAAATCTACCTAGCCACCCCAGCCCACTACCACCCCACCCAGCCACCTTCACCCAACGCAGCCGCCAGCGCATCCCCTTCCCCTCTCTTACCCGACGCGCCTAACCCTCCCCCTCCGCAGCCCTAATCCGCCCCAAAAACACCTAACCACTAATGGCTGAAACCCTAATCTGCAACCCTCCTTCCCCAAAACGGCCACGAATTCGGCCATTAATGGCTGAAATCGGCCGGTTTTGGGGCTGAGTGGCCTTAATCGGCTAATTTCGGCCATCAATGGCTGAATTCGTGGCCGTTCTTGGAGAATGACGGCTGTAGTTAGATGATTTTGGGGTGGTTTAGGGCTGTGGGAAAAGGGTAGGGATGGGTTCAGGTCGGTCGGTAAGAGAGGGGGAGGTGGTGTGCTGGTAGGCGTGTCGCGTACCTATCAAAAATAACCTAACAGACCAATACTAATGTAGATTGGCAAGTAAGGGTCGGATCCCAAGAGACTAAGGTTCAAAAATAATTAAATAGACTCAAATTTCTACTAAGCAAGAATCAATTATTATCGATTATCTACGGAACTAAGTATGAGAAGAATTCGAAAATAAACTAAATAAGATGATTAAATCAAGTACTTAAAACATCCAAGATCTAGTTTCACCACAATTATT